AAATATTATTTGGTAGTAATAATAATATTTGGTACATATCCTTCCAGATTTATTTCAATGCAAGTTGGCTTTCCAAAAATGAGATCACTCTAAATGTACTATTTTATAACAGACTTTTTTCCTTTAATAAAATATTATCGATATCATTTCATTTTAAGAAATATCAATTTCATAATAAAATCAGCATGTATTGCCCATTTACTCTGTGTAGGCATCATGCTAAGTGCCTTCTGTGCACATGCATTACATAAATTACTCCACCTTTTGCCTAGGGGTATTTTTCAGACTTTGGCACTGTAAGGTGGAGCCCAAGTAGAAAATGGTGGTCCTCCCAAGCTGAGAATGTAGAAATCAGAGTTCAAGGCAGCTGAAGGGACTGGAATTTGTGGACCAGAAGTATCACAGAAAAGGGAGTTATGTGATGCAGGGAGACAGAAATCTGTGGGGGTCCTCCCATAGATCTTTGGTATAGAACTGGGCTGTACATATATAGAAAAAATCACCTTGAGGCCTGAGAAAGAGTAGCTACTCTAAGACCAGGTGATGAAGACAGATACCTGATATTATACTGGACTGGATGATGTCGGAGTTATAGTCCAGCCAGAGTGCAGAGATTTCATTGAGCACCTTGGACATTCATTTAAGACAACAAAAAGACTACACTTTGGCAGTGAAAATCATGCTGTAAAAGAAGAGCCATATCCTAGGACTATGGACAAAACTAAAATAGATTGGTTTGAACAAAGATTAAAACCAAGTCTGAAAGGATCTAGAGTACCCATGAGTAATTTAAGTCAACAACCCTTTAAAAGAAGACACAAAATCCAGATTCTCTACAATATATTATCTTCAATGTCAAATATATAATCAAAGATAAATAGACAAGAAAAAAGAAAAGGAAATATGACTCATAATCAAGGAAAAGAAAGCAGTAAACAGAAACAGACCTTTATATAACCCAGATGCTTGAAATAGCAGACAAGGACTTTAAAAACACTTGTTATAAATATGTTTGAGAGCTTAAAGGAAAAGATGCACATAGTGAATGAACACGTGGGGACTCTCAGCAGAGAATTTCTATTTATTTCCACCATACATTTATTTTCCTTATTCCAGAGCTTCATATGGAATCATATAGTATGTACTCTTTTGTATTCAGATTTTTCTCTTGGCAAAATGTCTAGCATTCACCTATGTTATTGTGTGACCATTTTGTGTTGCAGAATAAACAAAGTGAAGTAGTTAGATGCTTACACCTAAATGTGGAATCACAGTGATTGCAATAACTACAAATGCAGACTGATACAAGTATTTTCTTTGCAACCTGTTACCTCAAGAAGTGTAGCAAATTACACTATGATTCATAGATTTGTCAACTATTTCAATGTCTGATGGGACTTCTGAAAACTGTATGGGATGAGAGACAATTCTGCACTGGGTGTTCTCTTAAGCTTTACAGGACATCTAGCATTTCTGGACACCACTAAGTGCCAGTGACATTGTGACACCAAAAATGCTCCCACAAATTTCCAAAATGCTCCTTAGGGAGGAGTCATACTCCTATTGATAAGAACGAGTCTGTCTTTTCATCACAGGCTTATCAACTGTCAAATTCATGTATTTTATTTTTTTAAATGTTGAAAGGTCAAGATAATGAGAAGACAAACCACAAACTGGGAGAAAATATTTGCAAAGGATAAAGAACTATTATCCAAAATATACAAAGAACTTTTAAAACTCAATAATATGGAAACGTTCTTCATAGCTCCCTCTCCCTGATTTTCTCTGGTAAACTAGATGGCCAATGGTTTACCTTGTATCTCTCATGAAGCTATCAGCCTTAATTTTTTACCACCAAAACTCCATTATTCTTGAGGATGCCCTTAGCCTTGAACTTCTCGACACTCTGTTTCAAATAAAATTAATCGCTTTGGGAAGAGCCTCAGCACTCTCTGTTTAAAGACCTGTCTGTACCCCTGGTCAAAATATCAGAGCCACAGCTCTGAAGCTGGGGGCAGGGAGAGTGGCCAGCTTCTTTCAGAGTCATACCTTACTTTAGGAGCGGGGCTCTGGGTGGGGGCAGTAGCCTCTGGCCTTCTCAGCTTGTCTCTCCTAACATGGAGTCTCTATCCTATAAATGAGCTGGGGTGAGGACAATCATGGCCCCAGTATTACCAGCATGCCATACCTGAGGTCAAGCATCTGCCCTACAAATTGGGGCTAGGTGGAAGAAGAGAACTCCCAACCTCCTGGCTGCACTCATCTGGAATTGAGCCTCTGCAACATGAGGCTGGAAAGATGAGAACTTCTCGTGGCCTGCTCCTCCCAGGAAGATGCCATCGTTCTTGACTGGAAGCTGGGAAAAGAGGCAGCACTGTGTTCTTAGCTGTACTCACCTGAAGCGGAGTCTGTCACGGCTAGGAGCAGAGAGAGGAAGTAGGTTATAATTCAAATGCCACAGACTCTTGCTGCTCTTACCGAATTAGAGTAGACTTTCTTGACTAGTTGTTTCTTCCTTTGCTGTATGCTCTTAGGACAATTTCCTGAGACTTTGAATGGTTGCTTTTTAGGTAATTTTCAACAGTTATACTTATTTTACTGGGTAGTGGGTCCTCAGAGCTCCTCACTGCCATTCCATAAGTGGAACTCCTAATGTATACTTGATATGTCATTTTGATTTATTGACTCAACAATATGAAAGAGTATCAAATAATTAAAAATATTTTATAATAATTTAAAAACAGCCAGTGTTATGAGTGTGGCCACAGCCCCCTCCGTGGTACTGAGATGGGGTAATAATCTTTCTGTGTCCGAAGAGGAGTTCTAAAGTGGTCTCAAGTTAAAACTGGGTCCTCTTGGACTGAGTGGGGGATAATCACGCAGAAGGTGTGGATGTGACTGGATGCAGATTGCTGGATGCCTCAGTGGATGCCAGTCCAGATGGATGACCACTGCAGACTGACGCTCAACAACACCTTGGTGCTAAGTCAGCCCTTAGAACCTAGATGCTGCCATCTTACGTTTCTACCATCAGGCAGAATAGGGGATTGGGGGAAAACTGAGTTGCATAAAAATGATGACTTTCTTGCATCATTAAAATTGTGGACTAGGATTTAGATAGGCTGTAAAAATTCAGGCAATTTTTTGGGAACAAGTTTAGCTGAAGGGAGGGAGCGGAGGGAGAGAAAAGCTGAGGAGGAATAGGAGAGGCTTTTTTTTTTCTTTTAAGTGAGAGTTTACCAGCTCATGGGAGGAATCTGGTTCCATGGGAAGGGCCAAGCATACCGGGGAAAGGAAATACTTTATAGCATGAGATTCCTGAGGCTGAAGAAGGGACCACGTTCTTTACTATTGGAAAGACAGAGCCAAGGACTGGTATAAATCCAGTTTAGTTTGTAACGTTTGGTGGCTAAAATATGAAGGGATATGCATCTGATGGCTTCTATTTTCTTGGTGAAGTAGGAGCAAAAGTCATCTTTCCAGAGGGGAGGGTTAGTTAAAAGTTTGAGTGGGCAAAGTTTGCAGGGTCACTAAAGTGGGCAGAAAGTGAGCTGACAAGCGAAAAGTTTCAAACTGCTGGGCAGGATGGAGGGGGCAGGAGAGGCTCTGGCTTCTAGGTGCAGAGGGTCCTGTTGCTCTGACTCTAACCTTTCTCCAGCTGTGCTCAGCTGCTCTGGAGCAGGAGGCAGAAGAGGGATGATCGGGGTCATCTGGGGCTGGGATTATACCAGAGAATAACTGCTCAGAATCTCTTCATGTATTTTGAAAACACACATCTTATGTAGCTCTTCTCCAAATTAAACAAATCTTTGTTTTTAAATTTTATGATGTCAATTTTCTCATCCCTTTGATAAATATCTTTACCTTCTCTGGCTCTTTTCTAGGTTTCCCTTCCAGGTTTACAAATTAGAAAGGCAGTACGGTACATGATTAAGACAGGACTTCTGGCACCAACCTGCTAGGTACGAATCTTACGTCTAGCACTTAGTTCCTGTGTGACTTTAGGCAAACTGCATAGCACCTCTGTGCCTGTTTTCTCATCTGTAAAATGGAGGGAGTGATGATAATAGTACCCCCTGTACTGCGATTTCTACCTTTCAGTAGCCTTAGCACCCAGGAAGTTGCCGTCTATAGAGCAGTAAAAACAGTAGATGAGGATTATGATGGTGATGATGACGATGATAATGATGTAGATGATGATGATGGTGGTGGTGGTGGTGATGCTGATGATGACGGTGGCAGTACCACAACTTCTTATCCTTAGTTTCCCTATCCATTGACCTTTGTGGGGGCAACAGAGGGCAGAGAAGGGAAGATAGGGTTCTGAGTCCAGAAAGACTGAGGTTCAAATCCTAGTTCTAGCACTGACTAGTTGTATAGCCTCAAATTAAAAAACAAACACTGCAAATTGTTCAGTAACTTATTAGCACTTTTCCCTCTTTCCCCTCTCATTCTTGCCAACCATAACTCTTAGAGGCACTAACAGAATGGTCTCTTCCCCAAGCCATCCCTTTCCTAAAACTGCCTACTGCTACCTACCAAGAGTTAGGGTAGGAATTTATTTTCTGCCTTAAAGTCCTTCATGCCACCATCTTCTTGTTTCCAGTCTCTCAGGATTTCTCTTCACTCACCAGGGAGGTTCATTCCATGCCATGTTTATTTATTAAACAGCTTCCTGCAATCTTTCTTTACAGGCAATACCCTATTTTGCAATATGCTCGCCTCCTTCCCCTAAGATCTCTCTTTCTCTGCCTTTTTTCACAGTTGCCAAATTCCTATTCTATGACACCTTTCACCACTGGAAAACTTTATCTTTCTCTCTAAATTCCAGACATGACTTCCATTTTCTCACAATGCCAAAAAAATCACAACTTTTTTGCCTTTAACAGGCAAATACTTCAGCTATCTGTTCAATGTTCATTGAGCTGCATTGTCTGTACATGTTTTATAATAAGCACTACCAAGAGGAGATTACCTCAGCTACTTTGTACCACAGGGAGTGTAATGATATATACAGATAATTTATTAACTTCTGATTGTGATAATGCTTGGAGGAGGGGAAAAATTAAAACATCTCTAGCTCTGACATGAATCATATATTTCCATCTTTCCTTACAAAATAATGACATACACCCACTATTACACAAAAATTAAGGTACAATAAACATCTTCAAATACTTTACAAGAAAAAGGTGACTATTTCACATTGAATCTTTATATGATGGCTGATATAATTTCATATCTAGGTTAAAGTATTTATTCATTTAAGGCTGTGAAAAATTGAAGACAAGAGGGGCAAGATGGAGGAAAGGAAAGAAAGAGGAAGAAAACACAAAAACATCTTATAAAATTCTGAGCAAATGATTCTGTGTACAGTGGGATTTAATGTGAGAAATTTCACACACACAAATCCTAACTCGTGCTTTTAAATGTTTTTTAAAAAGCATCTTTGTTTTGCACATTTCTGAAGATATTTCCAGCTTGATCGAAGCACCTCTCTCACTTTATGCTTAGGTCATTAATACCTTATTACATATAATCCCACCCCATTCTCTCTTTCCAATAAACACTACATTATTTTAGGCAAGTCATGTCCATAAAGCAACAATCCATTGTTTTAAAAAAACAAATGTACCCAAATTTCCAAATGCAGGAGAGGATAATCCTCTTGGAAAGCTCTATGCTTATTCCAAGAATGCAGCCACTTCTCAAAATATTTCTAGAATTCCTCTTTAGAATCATCTTTAGTATTTAAAAACCACATAGGAAAGCCAATCTTCTTACTTTATAGAGCTCTCATTTTTTATATATAAAAAAGTGGCATTACTCACCTGAGTCAATCAACTTGACTTCAAATTACATTTTTGGCCGTGTCCAAAAATCAGCTTACCTCAAAAGACGAAGACTTTCTACTACGAAAGCTCTCTTTTTAAAAAATCTGAAAGCATTCTGCGAGTGGCATCCCAGATCGTTAGAAACAGAGCAGCCGGTTAGAGTAAGAGCAAAGCCTCAAAGCTCCCTAGGCAGATAATTTTGGGGGTAAGATGAGGGACATTTTTAAGTATAATCTTGGAATACTTTTCTAAACAGCCACATTTCTTTCCATTCATACTTCTATTTGCCTTTCAGATGGCTGAGTTTTATAGCAGTAAGCCACCTTTTCAAAATCCTAAAATGTCTTTAAATGGGATATGAGTTTTAAATTTCCCACAAAGCTTATTGTGGGGGAGGGGGCGGGCCACCAAGGCTTGTAAGGCCAGGAATCACCCCCTTCCAGCCTAAGCACCCACAGCACGTGTCGGAGGGGCAAGTTCTGGAAATCTGAAGTTTTGCTGAATGCTGGTGATTTAGAGGGGCTTCAAGCAATTCTCAGGGTCTCCATTCTTTCCTAAAACACTATGTACAGTGTATTTGAACAAGTACAGGTTGCATTCAAATAATTTTTTTTTGTTTGTTTCACAGTGTGATTCCAGTAGTATGAGCTTTTCAGTAATTGTGATTTTTATTTTTGTCATTTTTGGCACTTACAGTTCACAACGCATGGTTGTGTGGTTCAATATTGTTTTAATTTTTGCATCTTACAGTCCTTTTGGCACTTTTGAAGATGCAGACATTGTCCTGTATGTTGTTAGAGGAAGTGGCAAGCCTCCGCCTTTGTCTCTTTTTTAGGTGTTTGGCTTTATGAAATACACGATTCTCCGCGGAATTCGGTGTCATTAAACAAAGCGGGTGAAAATTTGCCTTCACAAGCGGGGCATTCCAACCCTTCTCAGAGGCTGGTATCCACGGCTTCGGATTTAGTCTGTTTGGCCACTGCTGTTACAGGCTCTGGCGGCCCCTCCCGGCAGAAAAGCACAACTGGATTTTTGCGAGCCCACATGGCCACGTCCCCTCCGCCCCCGCTGGCCGGGTTGGAAGAGGACATCCTGCTGCCGGCCCCCAGCCGGTTGGCATAGCGGTTTCGAAGGCGATTGCGGCTTCTGGCTTGCAGACCCGAGCCCTGGTTGGGCAGGAAAACGTCCACATTCCTAGTCCGGTAGCCCTCTTCCCGGTTGCGCCCTAGGAGCATCGAAATGTTGGGGTTGCGGATGGCATAGATGACAGGGTTGATGGCCCCATTGGCCCAGGTCAGCCAGACAGCCACCACGTTGAGGAGCGAGGGGGCCTGCGCGGCCTGGGCCTGCCGGGCTGCGGCCAGCAGCACCAAGAAGCAGTAGGGCCCCCAGCAGCAGATGACGAAGACGATCATGACGAGCACGGTGGTGGCCGTGCGCACCTCGCTGAAGAAGCGCAGCACGCGCGCGTAGGTGGTCACGGGCCGCACGCGCACGTCCGACAGGCGCACGGTCTTGCAGATGTGGTAGTGGCAGAAGCACATGAGCAGGAAGGGCAGCAGGTAGCAGGCCACCACCAGCCCCACGCTGTAGGCCGCGCCCAGCTGCGTAGGGTCCGGGAAGGTCCGGTACAGGCAGCCGTGGAAGCTCTGCGCCGCCGGCGGCTCCCGGGGCGCGCGGAGCAGCTCCCAGGGCAGGGAGAAGCCCAGCGCCGCCAGCCAGGCGCCCGCCAGCAGCTGCAGCGCGCGGCGGCGCCCGATCTTCTCCCGGGGCGGCCGCACGATGGCGCAGTAGCGGTCCAGCGAGATGAGGGCCACGCTGAGCGTGGACACGATGCCGAAGCACGAGCTGAAGAAGCGGCTGGCCGCGCAGAAGCCGCGCCAGGGCCCCGCGGCAGCGGCGGCGGCGGGCGCCGAGCCCCCGGGCGGCGAGAAGAGGTCCAGGAAGGCGACGGGCAGGCAGAGCAGCGCCGTGAGCAGGTCCGACAGGGACAGGGACAGGATGAAGGCGTTGGTGACGGTGCGGAGCTGCCGGTGCTTCACGATCACCCCCATCACGGCGCAGTTGCCCAGACTAGACAGCAGGAAGATGAGCAGGAGGACGAGCGCCTGGGCCGCCACCGCCGCCCCATGCGACAGCAGCGGCGCCGCCTCGGGGCCCAGCGGGGGCCTCCCCGCCGCCGCCGCCGCCCCCGCCCCGTGCCCTCCGGGGCCGCCGCCAGCCGGGGCGCCAACGCTGCCGGCCCCGCTCCCGTCGCTCTGGTTCCCCAGCGCCGCGGCCGCCGCGGTCGCCACGGTGCTGAAGGAGAGCACGGCCGCCGCCGGCGCCGTGGACGAAGAGCCACCAGGGCCGCCGGCCGGGGAGGGGGCGCCGGGGGCTGGGCTGCCCGGCCAGGCCGGGCTCACCGGCGGGCGGGGCGGCGGCGGCTCCTCCATCAGGCCCCGCCGCGGCGGCGGGTCTGCTCATCCCGCTCCGGGGGTGGCCGCCAGCTGCAGGGGCTCAGGCCGGGCGAGGGCGCTGCTGGCAGTCGGGCTCGCCGGAGCGGGTGGCCGTAGCCTGGGACCCCGCGAAGCCTTTGACGTGGGTTCCAGGCGTTGCCGAGGGAACCGCGTGTTTACGCAGGAGCGCGGGGCGGGACGCCCGGACAGCGCCCTCGCCTCTGCCCCAGGTCACCCAGCCCGGGGCTGCGCTTCGGGGAGGCCTCCTCCGTGACCCGCACCGGCCCCAGAGCGGGGCGGGGCTCCCGCGCAGAAACGCCCGCCTGCCCCGGGTGCGCACGCTCGAGAGCTCGCTTGTTGGACGCAACGGCCCTACGGGAGGCCTTTGTGGGGGGCGCTTTGCTCGCTGTGGGTGTTACTGGCATATGCAGGTAGGAAAGGAATCTAGACCCTGAAGTGAAAAATAGTCTAAATTTCGATAGCTTAAGCTTGAGGGGCAGAATAATTTAAACCAGGTGTTCGCAAACTTGAGCGTGCAACAGAGTCACCTAGGGCCTTGTTAAAACACAAGTGACTGGGCCCAACCCCGGAGTTTCAGGTCTGGGGGCCTGTCGGAGAATCTGCCTCTCTAACAAGTTCGCAGGTGGTGATGATGTTGCTGGTCCGAGGACCACACTGAGAGCCGCTGCTGTGGGCTTGTTAAAAGGCAGATTCACTGGCCCACTCCCAGGATTACTGAGGGTGGGCCCATGAATCTAAACCCAATAGGTGATTCTGATACAGGTGCTCTGAGGAGCTGGATATGCATCTTGGAGGCAGGACGTCACCTTGTTTTCAAGGGCCAAGACCTCAGGACCATAATTGGCTCACCTATGTGTGTAGGGGGAGAAGGCTGCTGGCAGCCTTCATTAATTCTCTGGAACGTAGTGTATTTTGAGTCTAAGGTGCTGCCAGCCAGGCAGATGCAGCTCCAGGTATCCGGCTGGAATCTACTAGAACAGGAAGGGCCTGGCTGTCCAGGGAAGCTGCATCTCAAGTTTCTGGGCATGGCCTCTAATGGAAGAAAGTGTGATAAACCCTCAGGTTCTCTAAAGCAGTGGTTTGCATACCGTGGGCCCTGGACCAACAGGATCAGCATGACCTGGGAACTTGTAGACATGCAGATTCTCAGGCCCTTCCCCAAATCTACTGAATCTGAAACTCTGGGGGTGGGGCCCAGCCATATGCCCTGCAAGTGATTCTGATGCACAGTCAAGTGTGGGAAACACTGCTCTAAAGAATGACTAGTACACTCGCAGGTCTTAGAGTCAATGATATTAGTGGTTGGGTGCTTATTTCAACTGAGGAAAAGCATCCTACCGGACATTTACAGCATAAATAGAAGTTCATTTAACTTAGTGATAAACTAAGCACTATAACATTTTGAGCCAGATAAATCTTTCCTGTGGGGGCTACCCTATGCATTGTGGATGGTTAGCAGCATCCCTAGGCATTGTGGGATGGTTAGCAGCATCCCTAGCCTCTACCCACGAGATGCCAGTGGTGACAATGAAAAATGTCTCCAGAGGTTGCCAAATGTCCCTGGGGGTAGGAGTGGGAAACAACCTCAGCTGAGAACCACTGAATTAAGACAAAAACATATAGTAGATTAATTTATTTAGCAAATCTTCCTCATGCTAGATTTTCAGAAACAACAAAAACAACAGAGGATTCCAGCTCAAAGAACCTTACAGTTTTAGGCAAACACAAATATATTGCAATGTCATAAGTGTTGTTAAAAAATATTGAATGAAATTCTATGGAGGTAACTAACTTTTCCTAGGGTAGCTGATGAAGATTTCTCACAAGAGCTGACATTGGACTCTCCAAAAAAAGAAGAAAAGGAAGGATATTTGTTGCATGTGCAAAGTCTAAAGGTTAGCATCTAAGTACTTGACTCTCTTGTATCGGTGAGAAGTGTCTGTATTCTACGGTACAGGGTAGGGAGTGAAGAGGGAAATAAATGGTAAAAGTTGATTGGGGCTCTCTCAGAGAGGACTGGCATGCTGTGTTATGGAGATTGAACTTCGTCAGGGGAAGATGGGGTAATGACATTAGCCCTTGAAGGGGTTTAAGCAAGGGAGGGTGATGATCTGGTGCAATTCAGAAAGATAAGAGTGACCTCACGCTCTCCTGGTGTTCTTCCTTCCTTGTTTGCCTCAGTGTCTTCTGCCAGGTTATCTTCTACCTGCCTTTAAATGCCGGAGTCCATCAAGGCTTAGTCCTCGCCTCCTCCGGACTTCCTCTCTCATCTCACTAACACCTGGAGCTTTGAAAACTACCTATATATTCATAACTCCAAATTATATCTCCAGCCTCAAACTGTATATCTTGCTACTTGGCATTTCTTCTTGGTGTGAAAAACACCTCAAACTCAACGTAACCAAAATGGAATTCATGATCTTCCCTCCACTTTTCCTAAAAACCTTGGTCCTCAATATTTTCTGTCTCAGAAAATGGCACCATCTTCCATCTAGCTTACAAGCCAAAAACTTAGGATTCTTTCTACATAAATTCCTCTTCCTCACCACCAGCCCATGTCCAATCCGTTGAGACATCCTGGGGGTTCTACTTGTTAAATATCTTTGTATCCACTCACTTCCTCCATCACTTTGTCCTCCACCTGAATCTTAGCTCTCGCCCTCTCTTCTTTGGACTACTCCTGTCACCTCCTAACTGGTCTCCCCACATCCACCCCCTATTCCCCCCTGGAGGCAGAATGCTCTTTTAAATAAAATAAATTCGATCATTCCATTCACTTATTTAAACTCCTCTAATGGCTTTCTCTGTTGAATTTATGATAAGGACCCCAATCCTTAATTTTTCCTACAAGGCACTGCATGAGATGACATCTGCTTCCTTTCTAGGCTCATTTGGGGCCACTTTCCGTTTTTGCTCCCCTCTAGTGACACTGGCCTTTTGTGAGTTCCTTAAACCCCCATCTTAGAGCATTTGCACTTGCTGTCCCCTCTGCCTGAGAGCTTCATTCCCCGCTTCCCCCAGTTCCCTTGAATCCCCGTGTCTGCGTGAGAGTTAGTCTCTCGAGGGAAGCCTTCCTTGGCTTCTTGCACAGAACCAGTCTGTAATTGATTTTTTTTTCTTTTTTTAAGATTGGCACCTGAGCTAACATCTGTTGCCAATCTTCCTTTTTTTTTTTCTTTTCTTTTCTTTCTCCCTGAAGCACCCCAGTACATAGTTGCATATTCTAGTTGTAGGTCCTTCTGGCTCTGGGGGATGCCACCTCAGTGTGGCCTGACAAGCGGTGCCGTGTCCAAGCCCAGGATCTGAACCGGCAAAACCCTGGGCCGCCGAAGCGGAGCGCGTGAACTTAACCGCTCGGGCCACAGGGCTGGCCCCTGTAATTATCTTTTTTGGTAAAGTATTGCCTGCCTCTCATTGTAGTCTCTGTGAAGACCAGGACTTTGTCTGTTTGGCTTTTTATTAGATTCTGAGCACTCAGCACTCTGGAAAACTACTAGGTACACACAAAAAAATATTTTTTGAGTGACTGTAGGGGGAGAATCTGGCAACTGGGAGACCAGTTTAGAAAAGGGATTGTAATGGCCCAGAGGAGAAATGAAAGAGTCTGAACTAGGGCATTTACAGTGAGGAAGAGATTTTAAGGAGGTAGTGTATGGCTTAGGGTCTTTGGATATAAGCAGTACAAACAGTGAGGGCACTGTCTCATTTAAGCAAAAGAATTTACTGGAAGGACAGGAGGAGTTCAAATTACAAAAAGGTAGCCTAACAGCCAGCCCCAAGAACAAGAGAAGTCAGGGCAGCTCTGTGGGTAGAGTGAGCAGAAACTAACTGGGGGTGACCTCTTTAGGGCACTATCAGAATAAGTGGCCTTCAACCATTTCTCAGACCTTTGTCATTTCTCTCAGGTCCTGGGGGAGAGAGTCTGATTGGCATAGCCCTTGCCTGGCGCTCCCAGCAAGGTTCCATGCAGGGGATGGATAGTTTCCCAAAGGAAAAGGAGAGTGTTGTTAAGAGAAGGGGAAAGGAATGATGCCAGCCAAATCCACAGACATCCCCCTCAGGAGCATCAACATATAGGATGGCAGGCTGTGAACAAGGAGCCAAGGATGAATCCCAAGTTCTTGGCTCGATGAATGGTGGTACCATTAACCAAGTGAGGGCGTGCAGGAGGAGGGGCACGTTCTGGGAAGCTGATGAGTTTGGTTTGCCCACTAAGTGGTGATCTGCAGTATGGCTCTGCTTCTCAGGATTTAGAGATTTGGGAGATGTCAGCCTGTCTACACGGGAGAAAACCACAGGCATGAGTGTGACGACTTAGGGAGAGGGTATTGAGTGAAGACAGAAAAGAACCATGGATGGAATGTGAGTAGTAGAAATTAAAATGCAGGTAGAGGGAGAAAAGCGAGGTGGGTGAGTGAAATATTTAATGAGGTATATTTGGCTAACTGGGAAATCAGCTGTCCTGTGGTTTTGGTTTTGTTTTGCTTTTCAGAAAAGAGGACAAGGTAATTGTCTCAGCCTCTTCTCAGGAAAGTTGCACTAATGATGATGTCAGTGCTCTCCTTTTCCTCCAGGTGGGGACCTAACAGGCCTTTCATGTATTTCAGAGCTCAGAGAAGTTGCCAGGTAGAGGAGACTCACCTGTTAAGCGTGGGCCCAGGCAGGTAATTAAAATAGATTGGTTAACAAGTTTTGCTAATCACACTGCAGTCCTCCTGCCAGCAGCATCAGCATCACCTGAGAGCTTGTCAGAACTGCCCCATCCCACACCCAATAAATGAGACTGCAGATTAAGATCCCCAGGTAATTCATACCCACATTGACATACAAGAAGCACTGCCGTAAGGAGGGATGGTATGGAACTTGCGAGTTCTGAGGGTTGAAAAGAAGGATACTCCAATTCTTATGGAGTCTAGAGGACTTGGAGCAAAAATCATTGTGCAATTCACGTGCAGACCAGATGGATTCGGGCCCACACATTTATAGCACCTGGTGGGTACTAATGGGGACTGGGTACTAACCTATGGCCTGGAAAGCCTCAGTGAGTGGCTCTGTGGCTGAACTCAGCACCAAGGGAGTGGAGTTCCTGCTCTAAAATGCACCATACTTGCCTGCCAGGAGCAAGCAGCAGCGTCCACCATGGCTTGTATAAACCCTTGGGTGACCGTTCGATCTGGCAGTTAGGTCAAGCATGGTTTCCAATGAGTCATGAGCTGGAAACCAGATTGCAATAGTTGAATAGCAAATGGGAGGCGAGAAAATGTTCCCAGTGAGCAGAGTCAGGAATCTGGACGCTTGACTACAAAGGCAAGGAAATCAGGGTGACAGCAAGCTAGAGAGGGAAAGTGGACAAGGAATGTTTGTTTCACTTTGTTTATGATGAGCACATTTCAGTACTTAGAGGAGGAACCAGTGAGGGGAAGGAGGTTGCTTGAAAGAGTTAATTGATGAGGCAAGACCTTTACTCAGATGGGAAGGGACAGAGGTGGGCAGTATTGAGAAGGGAAAATAGGGCTCTGTGACTGATTAGACATGTGCAGGCGAGAGGAGTCAATTTCCCTACTGTTTTTGACTCTAAGGGAGACGGGCTGAAGTGCAGATGGAATGAATATTATTGCAAGGATTTGGCTCTGGTTTGGATTAGAATTTAGGGAGATTTAGGCAATATTTATTTTTTAATGTTCAAGAAATCTAAGAGTTTTGTTAAGGTACCAGATCTTGGAACAAGTGCAGGAGGGAATACTGGACTCGGGGCCGGAGGTCCTAGAGTCACGGCCTCTAAGGTGACCTTGGGACAGTTATTTAACAGGTCCGACTTGCGTTTCCCTCAGATACATATATAAATGGGGTAAACACCCCGCATGCTGTTGGTGGGGCAGGGGGTGCAGTGGATACGGGGGTGCGCTGTCTCTAGAGAATTTTAAAACAATAATAAAACCGACTAAAAGTCAGTCTGCTTTTTCTTCTCACCACGTGCTGACAATTCTAAAGAATGTTAGTGATAAAATCTCCCCACTCTTGGTCGCCATGGGAGAATAACACCCATTTCATGGTGTATGTCATTAAAGTGGAGGAGATGTGTGTGGCAGTTACAAAATGCTATAAAATGTAACTTTTAAACAATGTATGTATCTTTTTTTCAAATTAATGTGACGTGAAATTTGAAGAGAAAATAGTGGTTCTGTTTTTGTTTTTTTTAAAAAAAAGTACAGCACATCTCCCTAATCTGTAGGAATCTTCCTGGTCATATTGACTTAGTGTCATTTTTTGTAAGTCTGGCTAGGGGTGTGTCAATTTTGTTTATCTTCTCAAAGAACGAGCTCTTTGTTTCACTGGTCCTTTCTACTGTGTTTGTTTCCATTGCATTTATTTCTGCTCTGATTTTTATTATTTGCCTCATTCTGCTGACTTTGGGCTTATGTTCTTCTTTTCCTAATTCAGTTAGGTGTAGTTTGAGATTACTTATTTGGGGATTTTTCGTGTTTGTTAGGAATAATGTCATTTTTTGGAAGTAAGTGATTTCTTTACCACAAAATTTTATAGAAAATGAGTGGAAAACATCTTAAGTGTTTTTGTGTAATAAGGAAATCAAGCACATTAACTTTATAGCCCTCACGTTGGTCAGGTAATTCAGTCCCAGACCTAACACCTGGGTCTATACAGACTTGCTGGATGACAAAGCCAGTTCAAATGAATTAATTACTTCAGTTTCTGTATGCTGAGAAAAAAATACTATCACTTACCTCACAAAAGAGTCTACTGAATATTGAGAGCACCACATGTGGAATAATTTTTTAATACTTCATTTTATAATGACTGATAATGATCAAATTTTATTTTTAACAGGCTCACAGACAATTAACTAGCAAGAATGTCAACAGTTAACATTTCTTTCATGTTTTAAATCTACCTGGCACGTAGCTGGGAGAGGATGAGACTCACCCCACGGTAGTGATTCATTGATTGATATTTCCTGTGTACCTGTATTTCAATAATGCAATAAACAATCTCTATTGTAAAAGCCTTAAAGACACAGCAAAAGTCTAATGATTAGTTGGTGTTCTCATGTCAGTTTATCAGGCTTCAGTTACCTGGGTGTAGGATCTGGGCTGTGCACCACAGAGAGCATCCCAGCAGCAGCTAGAACAACATTGACCCAAAGAAGCTGACCCGCCCCCACTCTCTTCCACGCTATACTCACTAAGGGTAGAGTACCTTATAATAATCCGTCTAACTTACATGCTGCTCAGAGAAGACGCCATTATTTTGCTCGAACCTGGAAGACTAAAGTAATGAACTTCTTGTGAGGGCTACAATTCAAGCTATTATTCAAGCATTTGAACAATATTCAAGCAATCTTTAACATATTTTAGTAATTACCATAGAGTATTATTTTAAAAGTAACAATTAAGGTTTTAGTTTTACCTGACATATAATAACAAGAAAAATATTCTGAATTTTTGGCATTTTGTTTGCTACATATACCAATACACATGTGCAAATATGAGGTATAATGACATTTAGCCACAGCATACTATTTTAAAAAGAATGGAAGTTGGCTTACATTTACAATTTGGATAGCTTTCCACATAATTCAGAGAAAAATTAATTACAATTATTGCTTTAAGAAGGAAGCCTTTAAAAGCCATAGAAGTCACTTGAGAAGAAATCCATCCCTCAGTGGGTCATCGTCTTCGATTGTAAAACTTGCTGTACCTGTGTAGTGGGCTTGTCCAGATACTTCCACTATAACAGCTTTAAAATCACCACATTTTGCTTCCTGAAAAAAGATGAAAGGAGTATAGTATCAAAATACTTCACTCTTGTTGTATGTGGCCTAAAAGCTGTATTCTTGATTTTTATCATTTTATTATTGTTGTTTATTGTGGTAACATTGGTTTATAACATTATATAAATTTCAGGTGTACATCATTACATTTCAGTTTCTGTGTAGATTACATCATGTTCACCACCCAAAGACTAATTACCATCCATCACCACACATTTGTGCCTAATCACCCCTTTTACCCTCTTCCCTCCCAGCTTCCCCTCTGGGAACCACCAGTCCAATCTCTGTTTTTATGTGTTGTTGTTTTCATCTTCTACTTATGAGTGAGATCATATGGTATTTGACTTTCTCCCTCTGACTTATGTCTCTTAGCATAATACCCTCAAGTTCCATCCATGTTGTCACAAATGGCTGGATTTCATCATTTCTCATGGCTGAGTAGTATTCCATTGTGTATATATATATATATATATATATATATATATATATATACACATATACACACAATATATACATCTTCTTTATCCATTCGTCCCTTGATGGGCACCTAGGTTGCTTCCAAGTCTTGGCTATTGTGAATAGTGCTGCAGTGAATATAGAGGTGCATGTATCTTTATGCATTTGTGTTTTCATGTTCTTTGGATAAGTACCCAGCAGTGGAGTAGCTGGATCCTATGGTAGTTCCCCTCAATTTTTTGAGGAATCTCCATACTGTTTTTCATAGTGGCTGCACCAGTTTGCACTGCCACCAGCAGTGTAGAGAGTTCCCTTTTCTCTGCATCCTCTCCAACACTTATTATTTCCTGTCTTGTTAATTATAGCCATTCTGACAGGCATGAGGTGATATCTCATTGTAGGTTTGATTTACATTTGCCTGATAATTAGTGATGTTGAACATCTTTTCATGTGCCTGATCCGTATATCTTCTTTGGAGAAATGTCTGTTCAGATCTTTAGCCCATTTTTTAATTAGGTTGTTGGTCTTTTTATTGGGAAGTACGAGTTATTTATATATTTCAGATATTAACCCCTTATCAGATATATGCTTTACAAATATCTTCTCCCAATTGTTAGGTTGTCTTTTCATTTTGTTGATTGTTCCCTTTGCTGTGCAGAAGCTTTTTAGTTTGATGTAGTCCCATTTGTTTACTTTTTCTATTGTTTCTCTTGTCTAGTCAGACATGGTACTTGCAAATATGCTGCTAAGACTGATGTTGAAGACCGTACTTTTCTTCTAGAAGTTTCTTGGTTTCAGATCTTACATTCAAGTCTTTAATTCTTTTTGAGTTTATTTTTGTGAATGGGGTAAGAGAATGGTCTACTTTCATTCTTTTGCACGTGGCTGTCCAGTTTTCCCAACACCGTTTATCGACGAGACTTTCCTTTCTCTATTGTATGTTCTTGGCTCCTGTGTGGAAAATTAGCTGTCCAAAGATGTGTGGGTTTATTTCTGGGCTCTCGATTTTGATGCATTGATCTTTGTGTCTGTTTTTCTACCAGTACCACGCTGTTCTGGTTACTATAGCTTTGTAGTATATTTTGAAATCAGGGAGTGTGATACCTCCAGCTTTGTTCTTTTTCCTCAGGATTGCTTTGGCTATTTGGGGCCTTTTGTTTTTCTGTACAAATTTTATGATCCTTTGTTCTATTTCTGTGAAAAATGTCGTTGGAACTTTGATAGGGATTGCATTGCTTTAGGAAGTATGGACGTTTTAACTATGTTAATTCTTCCAATCCAAGAACACAGAATATCTTCCCACTTCTTTGTGTCTTCTGCAATTTCTTTCAACAATGTTTTATAGTTTCCAGCTTCTTTCACCTCTTTGTCAAGTTTATTCTTGGCTATCTTGTTGTTTTTGTTGCAATTGTAAATGGGATGGTATTCTTAATTTCTCTTTCTGCTACTTTGTTGTTAGTGTATAGAAATGCAACTGACTTTTGTGTGTTGATTTTGTATCCTGCAACTTTACTGTAAACATTTATTATTTCTAACAGATTTTTGGTGGATTCTTTAGGGGTTTCTATATATAAAATCATGTCATCTGCAAATAGTGACAGTTTCACTTCTTCCTTTCCATGTTTAATCCCTTTTATTTCTTTTTCTTGCCTGACTGCTCTGGCTAGGACTTCCAATACTATGTTAAATAAGAGTGGTGAAAGTGAGCATCCTTGTCTGGTTCCTGTTCTTAGAGGGATAGCTTTCAGTTTTTCTACATTGAAAATGATATTAGCTTTATGTTTGTCATATATAGGCTTTATTATGTTGAGGTATTTTCCTTCTATCCCCATTTTATTTTGAGTTTTTCCCATAAATGGATGCTGTATCTTCTCAAATGCTTTCTCTCCATCTATTGAGATGATCATGAGGTTTTTATTCTTCATTTTGTTAATGTGGTATATCACGTTGATTGATTTGCAGATGTTGAACCATCCCTGCATTCCTGGAATAAATCCCAGTTGATCATGGTGTATGATCTTTTTAATGTATTGTTGTATTTGATTTGCTAGTATTTGTTGAGGATTTTTGCATCCAATGTTCATCAGTGATATTGGCCTGTAATTTTCGTATTTTGTGTTGTCCTTGTCTGATTTTGGTATCAGGGTGCTGTTGGCTTCGTAGAATGAGTTAGGAAGCTTCGCCTCGTCTTCAATTTTTTGGAAGAGTTGGAGAAGGATAGGTATTAAGTCTCCTTTGAATGTTTGGTAGAATTCACCAGGGAAGCTGTCTGGTCCTGGACATTTACTTTTGGGGAGGTTTTTGATTACTGTTTCGATCTCCTTACTGATGATTGCTCTATTCAAATTCTCTATTTCTTCTTGATCCAGTTTTGGAAGGTTGCATGATTGTAAGAATTTATCCATTTCTTCTAGATTATCCAATTTGTTGGCATATAGCTTTTCATAGTATTCTCTTATAAGCTTTTGTATTTGAGCTGTCTTTTGTAATTTCTCCTCTTTCATTTCTGACTTATTTGAGCCTTCTCTCTTTTTTTCTTGGTGAGTCTAATTAAAGGTTTGTCAATTTTGCTTATCTGTTCAAAGAACCAGCTCTTAGTTTCATTGATTTTTTCTTTTTAGTCTCTGTTTCATTTACTTCTGCTCTGATTTTTATTATTTCCTTCCTTCTACTCATTTTGGGCTTTGCTTCTTCTTCTTTTTCCAGTTCCTTTAGGTATACTGTTGGATTGTTTATTGAGATTTTTCTTGTTTGTTGAGGTAGGCCTGTATTGCTATAAACTTCCCTCTTGGAACCGCTTTTGCTGTATCCCATAAATTTTGGCATGTTATACTTTCATTTTCATTTGTCTCCAGGTATTTTTCGATCTCTCCTTTGATTTCTTCATTTACCCAGTATTTGTTCAGTAGCATTTTATTTAATCTCCACATATTTTTTATTATTTTAAAGAAAACCCAAGAGTTAATCCTTTAGGCAATGGAAGGTTTTTAAGGAGAGTGACCTTATCAGATTTGGGTTTTAGATAAGCTTAGCTGCAAAGTAGGGGGCAAATTGAAGAGGAGAAAGACTAGACACTCAGAGACCCATTAAGAGGAAACTTTAATTCATTGATTGAATCTGGAGTCACTAGCATAGTTTATAGTGAGGATGGAGAAGAACAAAATATAGAGACAGAACTGGAGAAGTGACAGACTTGGGAATTAATGCGTGTGGGAGGCGAGGAATAGGAATAAGTTAGATGTGACCATGGTTTCTAGTTTGGAAGGGAAGCTTGTGCTACCACTAACCAAGATGGGGAATGAGACAGGAGAACACTTTTAGGAAGGAAGGAAGAACTCTTTAACAACTTGAGTTTGAGATATCTCTAGGATGATCATTTCGAGATGAGTTTAGTGGACAGTTGGGAATACAAGTAGGGTCAGGAGAGAGGCACAGGCTGGCATGTAGACATGAAGGTTTGGGAGTCATCAGCAGCAGGTGGTTGGACATGAAGCTTTACAAGTGGGTGAAATTGCCCAGTGGCATCAAATTGCAGATGAGATGAGAAGGAAGCTAAGGGGAAACTTCTGGGGACCCCTAGATGGAAGGACAGGGAAAGGAAGTGGGGCTGGGAAAGAGATGGAGAAGATACCATCAGAGAGCCCGGGAGAGCCCAGACAGAGGGAAGGAGTTCAGTGCCAGGGAAGATCTTCTGGCAAGTACGATTAGTAACTATAAAAGAAATAACTTCATATCT